TAAAAGCCCTTGGGTGGAAATTGGCTCTACCCCGGGGGTCATTGATTTTCCCTATATCTTTATAGTCAAGACTTAAAAAATCTACATACGAGGGTTGTTCGGGAAGTTCTGAGAATTTTGTCATATCTCCTATATTTTTTGTTTCTAAGACGTAATATTTTGCACATACTAAGATCAGCATACCACGGAACTATTCCTAAAAATTTAATAGAATCAGACAACAATAGCCGGAAATAGCAGTAACTATAGCAACACTATAACGCCGCACCGGAGCAGTCCGACTCTAAAGAAAGGTATAACGCGCTACACTAATAATATTTCGTAATTTTGATAACTTAAAAAATGCGAGAAAACGCTGGTCAGCAGCGGAACGTCATGACATCATTTCCTGAAAATATATTAACGTTATTTAAATTCTCAACGGATCAACATTGTTTTAAAGTTGTTGCCCAGAGCCATTGAGTAAACAACATGACGTCGATAGGTGACATTGAATTGCGAAGCATCGTGAAATTTTGTGTTGCGCTGGAAAAGTCTTCCACAGAAACAATGAAAATGATCAATTCTACAGGAAAATACAAGAAATGCAGTTCGGCTACAGTGTATAGATGGCATGCTCGTTTTAAAGAAGGAAGAAACTCGATCGAAGACGATCTTACAGCCCGGACCTCGCTCCGATGGACTTCCGTGTGTTCCCGGAGCTCAAATCACAGCTGCGTGGAAAACGCTTTGACTCAGCTGACGATCTTGTTAAGCATACGCAAGCTATACTCTCGTCCTTTACCGATAGCTGGTACGTGGAAACATACAATAAGTGGATCAGCCGACACAGGAAATGCATCGAAATTGCAGGTGACTACGTTGAAAAGGTGCGACGATCGATGGACTTTAACGTCGCATAACGTTGCAAATGCCGTCGGCGTGCTCCGGGTGTTTGTTATATGGTTATTTACTATTTTTATTATGTTTTAGTTTCTGTGTGTATGATGATGATATTTTCAGATACTGTACATTATATATTGAAATAAATGGGTATATATTTATATTTACGCTAACCCGACTACAACGTGTGCTATAAAACAATTCTCAGAACTTCCCGAACAACCCTCGTATTAAAAACCAATAGAGCTAGAGCTAAGATATTTGGCATGAAACATCTTCTAGTGGATGTCTACCAAGTTTGTTCAAATAATAACCCTAGATTCAAAATTGGCCCCGTCTCGGGGGTCGTTGATTTTCATTGTATACATATCGTAAAAAAAGAATAAATCTTCTTTAAAAAGCCGAAAGAGCAAGAACTTAGATATTTGGCATGAAACATCTTATAGTGGATGTCTAACAAGTTGGTTCAAATAAAATCCCTAGTGTCAAAATTGGCCATGCATCGGGGGTCATTGAATTTCCTTATAAACATATAGTAAACAATTAAGAAATCTTCTTGTAAAAAAACATGAAGAGCTAGAGCTTAGATATTTGGCATGAAACATCTTTCAGTAGATGTCTAACAAGTTTGTTCAAATAAAAGCCCTAGGGTCAAAATTGGTCACGCCCTGTGTGTCATTGATTTTCCTCATATGTGTATTGTGAAAACTTAAAAAAAGCCTTCTTGTAAAAAAAACGATAAAGCTAAAGCTTAGATATTTGGCATGAAACATCTTCTAGTGGATGTCTACCAAGTTTGTTCAAATAAAATCCCTAGGGTCAAAATTGGCCCCGTCTGTCATTCATTTTCCTTATATGTATATAGTAAACTAAATAAATCTTTTTGTGAAAATCCAAAATCAATAGGGCTTATCAAAGGGTAAACATTGACCCTGCCCCAGAAGTGGTTGTTTTCCATTATACAATTATCTCCCATTAATAAGAAAAAATAAGAAAAAATTTTGCATTAATAACAAGAAAATAAGAGAGATTTTTAATTACATTTGTATTATTTTTAATGGTGAATAATAGAAAATATTTATGTAATGAGAAATAAACCTATGAATCTTCCTTCATAATCTCAGCCCAATCATCTTTACGCTTATCCCCTCCCTCTTCCGAGAAGTCTAATGAGTCTAATGGTCAATTGTCTCTCACTGCTGATACAGATTTGTCATGTGAGATAAGTTACTAGTTGGGAATATTTGTTCATGTACATTTCTTCCAAGATGATGAACAATTGAAAGATGTTCTTGAAAATTCATAAATTGATGAACATGCTTTCGCAGGGGTAGGCGGTCACTTGCAGAAAAATTAATAATTACTGATAAGTTATCCAGGAAAGCCTGTTTGATTGATCAACCAACAAAATATGTCCAAATACATACCGCTATTTTAAAACGGCATTTAAAATTTAAAAAAAATCAAGTAAGCTCAGTTACTGTTGATCTCCGACATGAAATTAAATAGCGGTTATTCAATGTCTCTCATCACTGATTTGGACTCATTTTTAATGAGTAGCCAGAGAAATTCATGATTACACATAAGATGTTCATAATAACTGGTTAGTTATCCAGGCAAGTCACTAAGGTGGATAGACCATTTCGGTATGACCCAAACATGTGTTAAACTCAGTATTTAAAAAGAGCAAACAAGCTAGTTAGTATTTATTAATGTTGCAACAATATATTTATAAGTAACAATATTAATAATAATTTGTTGTATTAAATGGTTAATATGTTAATTGTTATGCACTTACTATGCTCTGTAAATATATTGTGTATTATATTTTGCAGGGGCTGGAGGCCAAAAAGCAAATAAATTTTGTCATTGTCATTGTCATAAAAAAGAAATAACAATGAGTGGTGATACTTCGTCTTTTTTTTATATCAGGTAGCCACTGTACATAACTGTTTTGATTTTATTGTATATTCATTTCACTTTATTAAAAAAATCATAAAATTGTTGGGTATTGCATAGTCTGCAATGAAGCTCGCTTTATAGATAGAATTTTTTTAATGCAGTCAGGTCTAAATGCTCTAAGCATCCCTTAGAAAAGGTATCATCTGATTTATATGACATTAATTAGATTCATTTTGGTTACCATGGTTATTAAACTTGTATTTTGATGTTTTTATTTGTTGTTTATTTTCAGATGGGAGTGGATGGAGATAATAGAACCCCGAACACAGGAACACATGTACGCAAACCTCACCTCCGGAGACCCGCCACCTGGTGTCAAAATATAAGTAAACTTTTGACGTTTAAATTGCTGTAATTGAAATGTATAATATTGTACATATGACAGTCACCTACTGTATTGGCACTGTATCAAATGAGTCTCTTTGGAACACTATTCTGTTCCCTCACATTTTACAATAATCACACTTCAAATTGTCTATTATTTGCTTGATATAATGGGTATGATTTCATCCATTTGTACAGTAAATACTATAACTTACCAAAGTGAATGCAGGAATACACATCTTGATTACATTATGACTAAAGCTATTGGTGTAACTTGTAATTATCCTGTTGTTATAACTGTAAATACAATTTAAACTGCAATAATGTCCTATGTAAAGACCTTGTAACACAACATTTGTTTGGTTTTATATCAAAGATCTGATGCTCTTGGAGCGCTATATTTTTGTTCAAATTAAGCCCTCATGTCAAAATTGGCACTGCCCCGGGGAACATTGATTTTGCTTTTATGTATACAGTATGGTAAAAACTTTTTTTCTAAATCTACAAAAGCTAAAGTAAGCTTCCATAGCATCCAGTCAGTAACTTCATAGCAGCCATTTATTTAAAGATCCTGTAACTCAATATTTTAAGGTTTGATATCATAAATATAATGCTCAAATGAAGATTTATCAATATTGTAGTTCCAAAAGTCAAAATATCCTTGAAATTGGTCCGAATGGTTGTTATGATGATTTCCAGGTCAAGTTTGAATATGGGTCACTTGTGTTCAGAAACTTGGTCACACAGTCCTTATATGGAAAAACCTTGTTTACACCTTAGAGGCTACTGTTGTGATCCAGATAACCTGAAAATTGGTCAGAAAGGATGTTTTGTGGATTTTAGGTCAAATTTAAATATGGGTCATCTGTGGTCAAAAAGTAAGTCACACAGCCCAAATAAACGAGATTGAGCCCTCATAATCAGGTCGGCAATATAAGGGTCATCATGGCCCTCTTGTTTGATAAATAACAAACCAAATAATTACTTTTATACTCAACTTTCCATAGAATAAAGAGAAAATAAACACCGAGTCAATATCAATTTCCGGTAGGTTACCGTTTCACGATATCCTTTCCCCAAAATGGAATTATTAATGATCATGGAATAGTATTTTAAGTGTATAATGCTCTGTAACGGGCGGATTCAATTTAAATATCATATTAAACATGAAATGGCTGTATTTCGAAAGAAAAATAGCGTATGGTAGTGTTGAATGAATTGATCGGCCTAAAATGTATCTAAATGTATTAAAATCTATGTAGATATAATTTATTTCAAAGACCTCGCTTTGAGGCTGTGCCTTATTTATATTAATTTTATTAAATTAATTATTCCTGGCTATGTTGCTACAAGATATATAGAGTGAGACACAAACTGCATGGTTTACATTTTCTTATAAGGACAGCAATTTACAAAATCTAATTCATATATTTTGTTTGATATCAAGAACTCAAGAAAAAGACATTATTGATGCTTATGCAGTAAAACCAATTTGTTGAATTAAATTGTGTCAGTTAAAATGATAAATTAGTCGCTATTGTGTAAAAATGGAAACTGTCCTTACTCCAATACAAATTTGTTGTTATTAAACGTCTAAAATACACCATTTTTCATATGATTTGTTTTTGGTAAAATATCCACTCGTAGTATTTAAGAGGAAAACTGTAACAGTTTCATTAAAATCTGAATACATGAACTTGGTTAAAAGCAAAAGGTTATCATCCCCTATTTCTGATTGTACACCTATTTATTTTGCCGGGTTCACGCAGTTTATTTTTACCATTTTGAAAGGAATCTTAAGCGAAATATCTGAGTTGCACAAATCTACTAGTAAACCTTGTTATTTCAATTCGAAATATATAACATATGTGCAAAAATAATCACGCATCTCTACAGTCCTCGTTACAGTGTAAGTAAGATGAAGAAAGAAATAACTGTTATATTTTTCCTCTTTTATTCAAGTGTGAATTCATCAGTCCGTGAGAAACGTCTAGTACTTCACAGTAGTGACGATGTATTTAACGAAATCCAAAACCTGAAGTTGGAAAATGCAAATATAAAGGCATCTTTAGATGCTTTAATAAAAGGTAAGTAAATACCACTTAAGTATTATATAATGTTTTGAGAAACATAAAGCATCTTTAAAGTTTACTGATTTTGCTTTTAAATAGAGTTGAACTGTCAAATAAATTTTTATTTAATTTTCATTAAACGAGGATTTTAACACGACGTCGCTTATTTCAATGTCAAAAGAAAAAAATTAATATTTAGTTTAATTATTTACCATACAGCATATGGCTGGTAAATTTTCTGTGGGAAAATATCCGGATCAATTTTCCGAATGTAATATATTCATTGAACCGTTTTGTCTTGAATGTGTATTGTCTTCATATTCATTCCCAAATTTGATGCATAGAATTTTTACACATACAATAAACAGAACATTGTGCATATCTTTATGGATTGTATCGTATGGTGGCTGATTTGTGCCATTCGTGTTTTCGCCCCGCGACCCCGCCAAGCGAAAAGTCGAAAATTAACAAGTAAAAATGGTGGGGACACGGAGCGAAAACTCACTAATAAGCGAGGGCGCGGGGCGAAGTTTAAGAAATAAAACTCCGACCTGCATGGGCGCAGGGCGAGATTTAAGAAATGAAACGGCGGGGGCGCGGAGCGAAAACACACTAATAAGTCAGGGCGCGGGGCGAAGTTTAAGAAATAAAACTTCGCCCCGCGGGGGCGCGGAGCGAGATTTAAGAAATAAAACGGCGGGGTCACGGAATGAAAACACGCTATTTAGCGGGGCACGAGGCGATGTTTAAAAAATGAAACTTCGCTGCGCGACCCCGCTTATTAGCATGTTTTCGCTCCGTGCCCTGCCATTTTAACTTGTTAATTATCGACTATTTCGCTTGGCGGGGTCACGCTTCGAAAACACGCTAATAAGCGGAATCGCGCAGCGAAGTTTTATTTATAAAACTTCGCCTCGTGCCCCCGCTAATTAACGTATTTTCATCCCGCGACCACGCCGTTTTATTTCTTAAATCTTGCCCCGCACCCTCACCAATTAGGATGTTTTTCGCTCCGTGCCCCCGCCATTTTAACTTGTTTATTATCGACATTTCTCTTGGCGGGGTCGCGGGTAGAAAATACGCTAATTAGCGGGGTCGCGCGGCGAGGTTTTATTAATTAAACTTGCACCGGGCCCCCGCTAATTTGCGTGTTTTATTCCCGCGACCCTGCCGTTTTATTTCTTACATCTCGCTCCGCGACCCCGCGTGGTGAAGTTTCATTTCTTCCCCGCGCCCTCGCTAATTAGCGTGTTTTCGCTCCGCGCCCCGCTATTTAAACTTGTTAATTTTCGACTTTTCGCTTGGGCGGGTCGCGGGGCGAAAACACGAATGGCACAAATCAGCCACTATAGTATCGGTCTCGTCTATGAATCTCAAAAGCCTGCAGACACAAATTTAATACAGAAATGGTCAGGCAAACCTTTTTCGCGTTGTCATGCTTTAATGGTAAACGAATATAATCCTCGTTCGTTTATACTAAACTCGCTCCACAAATGGGATACAAATCGTCCACGAAGAACATGAAGAAAATCAATGACTTTCAGCATGCAACATTTCAAATTTGACGTTTTTGGGGTTCTTTAGGGATTCCGTTTTTCTCTTCATTTTTTAGATAAAAGTCTAGATTAAAATTTATTAAAAATGTTTTAATTAGATACAGGTTCAGTCTATACACGTTGGGGAAAAACTGATTGTGATGGAAATGCAACTGAAAAAGTGTATTCAGGTAATATAAATTTATACAGTGATTTATTAAGCAGTTTATTAAGAAATTTGATATTGCCATGATTTAAACGAATGTGATATAACATTTTATAAAGAAATGAGAGATAAAATTGGTTTTCGTTATTTTACGCAAATTTCAGCATAATTTTGTCAGTCATATCTCGGCGGTTGATCAACATAACCGTCTTTCCTTGAAAATTAAACGGTAATTATCAATTTCTCCGCAAGTGACAGAGTACGGAGCCGACATAATTTTCAGTGGTGAGGGACAAATGAGCTGCGTCACGACAAAACCAACATAGTGCGTTTGCGATCAGCATGGATCCAGACCAGACTGCGCATACACCCAGTCTGACCAGGATCTATGCTGTTCACTTTCAGTTTCTCTACTTGTAATAGAGTTGGTAACCTGGTCAGGCTGCGCGGATGCGCAGGCTGGTCTGGATCCATGATGGTCGCAAACGCACTATGTTGGTTTTGTAATGACGCGGCTCAAATGATCATGAGATTCCATTTTCGATATTAAATGCCTCGATGAAATTTAGCCTCGTCCAAGGGCCGAACTAGTGCCCCTTGGATTTCTTATGTGATACTGTTCCTATTGAGCTATATAAGAACTTGCATTTTTGAACATTTCCTTTCAGCAGGATAAACTGTTTTGTGTACACTCTGCACGTGGATACATTATTTTTTCACTATTTAAGGGTATACTGCTGGAACACCCTATGATAATTCAGGTGGTGCAGCGAGTTACATTTGTCTTCCTGAAAATCCAACATGGGCAAAGTTCGTTGAAGGTCTACAAAATGAAGGAGCCTACATTTCTGGCACCGAGTTCGAGAGTGGTTATTCTAACACATTTAATCCCTTCCCAAAGAATATGTTAAACCAAGATGCACCATGTGTAGTTTGTAGAAGTCCAAGACCAACTTCAATTATGATACCAGGAAAAACTGATTGTTATTCAGGATGGACACTGGAATATACTGGGTACCTCATGTCTGGACACTACAGTTATAAAGGTGGCACAGATTACGCATGTGTTGATGCCAATCCAGACGCCGTTTTACATGGTGAAAGAGATCAGAATGGAAAGCTGTTTTATTTCGTGGAAGTGAAATGTGGGTCCTTACCATGTCAGGAGTATCCACAAGGTCGAGAGTTAGCATGTGTAGTTTGCACTAAATAAAAAAGTGTACATATTATCTATAAAGTACGACATTGCTCTCTACCATGACCTTCCTTGATGTGATGTGATATATATATATAAAAAATCAGGACATTTTGAAAGTCTGGCCGATTTGAAATACAAATGTATTGAAATTGCTTACTGCTTCCTTCTATTTTTAGCTCATCTGTCACAAAGTGACAGGGTGAGCTTTTGTGATCGCTTTTCGTCCGGCGTCCGTCCGGACTTTTACTTTAAATGACATCTCCTCATAAACCACTGAGCCAATTTCATCCAAACTTCACAGAAATGTTCCTTTGGTGGTCACCTTTAAAATTTTTCAAAGATTTTAATTCCATGCAGAACTCTGGTTGCCATGGCAACCGAAAGAAAAAAACTTTTAATATCTTCTTTTTAAAGAACCGAAAGAGCTAGAGCTAAGATATTTAGCATGAAACATCTTCTAATGAGTGTCTACCAAATTTATTCAAATAAAGCCCTTGGGTTAAAATTGGCCCCGCCCCAGGGGGTCATTGATTTTCCCTATATGCATATAGTAAAAACTTAAAAAATCTTCTTTTAAAGAACTCAAAGAGCTAGAGCAAAGATATTTAGCATGAAATATCTTCTAGTAAGTGTCTACAAAGTTTGTTCAAATTAAAGCCCTGGGGTCAAAACTGGCCCCGCCCCAGGGCTATCATTGTTTTTAACTACATCATATAATATCAATAAGTCAAAATCGCTTTACTCAAAATTCCGCGTTAGTCGAAGAATTCCTAAAGTCCCGTCAAATGTCCTTCTTTATCTTTGTATTTTAACTCCGCTTAGGTCAAAATTTTACTAACCGAGACTCCTGTTTAGTCGAAAAGAAAATTTGGTCCCGTCAATTAAAGTACAACATATTTTCATCTCAATTCAAAGGTCGGCGACATCAAGATGAGATGTTGTCACTCGATATTCACGCGTTTCATAGTAATTTTAATTGCCGGCCATTATGTATTATTAACACGTCGTAAAAGTGGTTTTAATCGGTTTCAGAAATTAATTGACTCGTGCCAGTCTGACAGGTGTTAGTCAAATTACAGCCTAGGTATTGATGTGTGTTATCAACGAAATGACATTTGTATTATTAATGTTCTGTCATATTGCATACATTAATATGTACTTCCGGCTCACAATAGTTGCTACTTTCGTTTTCGTACGATGATCAATTCACTTCAACTATTAGACAAATTGTAGTTGAAATGAATGTGTTATTGTGCTTTTATTGTAATGAATTGTCATGAGTGCTTATAAACATGTGCTTTACTGATGAATACTGACAAACTTGCATTTATGTCATTGCTACGAATGTTTGTCTTTATGTTCCACTATTAATATACATGTATTAAATTTTGAATAATATATTTTTGTTCATTTACAAAATGTATATATTTGTAGTTGTAAGCGATTTCCGTCATTTCAACGGTTAAATATTGCAGCATTGCCGCTATCAACAATAACCTACTTATTTGCGCATTCAATCAGGCACATGTATATACATGTACGAATGTCAACGTTATGGCGGCAGATCTACGTTACTCGAATTCCGTTTCTCTCGAAGTAAAATGCCCAGTCCCTTGGATTTCGAGTTACCGAGAGTCAACTGTATATGTGTATAGTAAAAACTTAAAAAATCTTCTTTTAAAAAACCCAATGAGCTAGAGCTTAGATGTTTAGCATGAAGCATCTTCGTATGGGTGTCTACCAAGTTTGTTCAAGTAAAAGCCCTTGGGTTAAAATTGGCCCTACCGGGGGGGGGGTGGAGGGAGGTCATTATTTGTCATTATATGTGTGTAGTAAAAACTTAACATCATGAAACATCTTCTAAGGGGTGTCTTCCAAGTTTGTTCAAATAAAAGCCCTGGGGTTTAAACTGGCCCCGCTCCGGGGCCTATATACAGGTGAGCGACCTCAGGGCCATCATGGCCCTCTTGTTTGTGAGTAAATTCCAAAATGTTTGATAAAAGATATGTTGCGACGTAAAAAAAGTGAAATTATTTCAAAAGAAACTAGATATGTTTGTAAAACATGTATGCCCCCTATGGGCAGCCAAGTAGTCATGTGATCAGGTTATTATGCATGACTTCTGACCCAGTGAACAAAAAATTAATAAGGGTTATCTACTGGTCATGACTAGTCACAAGGTAATAATTATTGTGACCCCATAGGTTGTGTGCAGCAATTTAAGTTATTACAAATCTTACCAAAAAAAATATGCATAAATTTTATGAATTATGTAGGCCTCATTAATGACAGCCAAATTGTTATATTACATAAGACCTTCAAATGTGTATACCAAAAGCATTTTTAGTTTAATATAAAAATATCAACCAAGGCAACTTGAGTTGTTGAGTTATTGGTCAGAAACCATCTTAAAGTACAAGGTCAATTTAACACTGACCCCTTGACCCCAAAATCAATAGGGGTCATCTACTGGTCATGAACAATCATCATATAAAGTTTGAAGCTCCTAGGCCTAAGTGTTCTTTAGTTATTGATTGAAAATTTTTACTTACAAGGTCAATGTGACCTTGACCTTAGACCCCAAAATCAATAGGGGTCATCTATTGGTCATGACCAATCATCATATAAAGTTTGAAGTTCCTAGACCTAAGCGTTCTTTAGTTATTCATCGGAAACCGTTTTTACTTACAAGGTCAATGTGATCTTGACCTTTGACCCCAAAATCAAAAGGGGTCATCTACTGGTCATGACCAATCATCATACCAAGTTTGAAGTTCCTAGGCCTAAGGGTCTCCTTTAGGTATAGAGTGGAAACCGTTTTTAACTTCAAGTAAATGTGACCTTGACCTTTGACCCCTTGACCCCAAAATCGATAGGGGTCATCTGCTGGTCATGACCAATCATCATACCAAGTTTGAAGTTCTTAGGCCTAAGGGTTCTTTAGTTATTGATCGGAAACCGTTTTTACCAACAAGGTCAATGTGACCTTGACTGTTGACCCCTTGACCCCAAAATCAATAGGGGTTATCTACTGGTAATGACCAATCACCATATCAAGTTTTAAGTTCCTAGGCCTAAGCGTTCTTTAGTTATTGATCGGAAACCATTTTTACCTACAAGATCAATGTGACCTTGACCTTTGACCCCTTGACCCCAAAATCAATAGCGGTCATCTTCTGGTCATGACCAATCACCATACCAAGTTTGAAGTTCCTATGCCTAAGCGTTCTTTAGTTATTAATCGGAAACCGTTTTTACCTACAAGGTCAATGTTACCTTGACCTTTGACCCCTTGACCCCAAAATCAATAGGGGTCATCTACTGGTCATGATCAATCACCATACCAAGTTTGAAAGTCCTAGGCCTAAGCGTTCTTAAGTTATTGATCGGAAACCGTTTCCACTTACAAGGTCAATGTGACCTTTGACCCCTTGACCCCAAAATCAATACGGATCATTTACTGGTCATGATCAATCACCATACCAAGTTTGAAGTTCCTAGGCCTAAGGGTTTTTTAGTTATTACTCAGAAACCATTTGGTCTACGGACCGACGGACCAACGGACCGAGGACCGACAGACAGACAAATGCAAAGCAATATACCCCCTCTTCTTGAAGTGGGGGCATAATTATTAGTTTAAAAGCGGTGTCTGTCACTGAATGGTTAAGGTTAAGATCATTGATTTCAAAACACGTGCCACAAACCGTTGTAGGTTCGAATCCCGCCAAATTATTTCATATGAGTTTGCTATCCAGCTAGCTTACGTCTATCCATTGTGCTCGTTCCGACCTAAAATATTGCACGGAGGAATAGGTTTCCCTCCCCTAAAAGCTTGAAAGTCACCAAATGACATTTACAGTGTTGCCTTGACATAAAACACAACCATAAAAAACAGACTTACGGTGTTAGGATCATGAAGGAAATAAATCAGTATTACTTTGAAAAGCATTCGGTCTTTTATCGCCCTTTAAATTCTTTAAGTTAGCTTAATGAAATAGTTTAAAATCCGCTCTTGTCCTTGTATATCATATATTTGTTCTCAACAAATATATCCCATATAATTTATTTATTAATAACGCATGTTTTTTAATGTCGCAATTGTGAGCAGATGTATCAGATTATATAATTTTGAAAGTAACTTAATATGACTTTGAATGTTCAATGATCCCCATCGTAAGTATTAATTTAAAGATGTTAATTAATTATAGTTTAACACCGCGACTGTGAGCTTCAGTTAAAGCTGCCCTTTTATTCGTTCTTTAAGGTTTCCTTGTGTGTGTTTTTTTTTCTCTTATGTAACGAGAGAATAGAAAAAACGAATATTCTAAAGAATGCACAAAAGAGCAAAATTGAAAATGATATAGGTTTGGTTGGTTGATGCTGTTTATGTACGGTTATTGGTAACATGCTACTGTCCTCGACTCCTACTTCTAGCTTTTGCAGTTCACAACACGTAATGCAATGCAGCACGCTTCCAGATTGTGTGTACATTAATTAATCGGAGACCTGCAGCTTTATACACGATGATTTAGATAAAATTTTAATTTAGAAATTTTTGTAAATGAGTTCATATGGCAGTAATCAATGTGCCTTCCATGTGACATACATATGCCTTTCGTGAAAAGGGGCACATGGTCTCCAAGGTGAAGAATGCGTTTGCCTTAATCGAGCAAACAACGGCGAAAACATAGAATGGAATTGTGAAAGAAGGTCTGAGGTAACAAACAGACATCTATGGACGTGTTTAAAAAAAAGGCAGCAATATATCTTAAGGGCTCAACAGACGGTAGGATTTTCAAAAACATCACCAATTAAAACTAAGATGTACAAGCAAATCTTAATTTGTTAAGGCTATTATTTATTGAATTCGTAAACCTTAATACTAGATGTAAGGGATAGGACATATACTATTTTGAACATCGTGTCGTTCAGACCTCTCACATTGACAAGTAACAGATTGCCAAATTATCTCCTGATAATGGGTGTAATTAATGAAATTCCAGAACAATTAGGGCTAAAAGGTAAACATAGTAGTAAGATGGGGTAAAAATGATGTTGAAAAACTCTTCAGGAGACCCAACGTTGTGGAATGTTCGAATCCCAGGCCTTTATTAGACTTTTACAGTATCACAAAAGAGATATCGGTATTA